CCCCCCCCCCCCCCCGCAAAATGCCCATGAGTATGTCAAAAAGACTGATCATTTTGGAACAGAAGGAGCTAGAAAGTCCCAAGCTGGAAGGTCTGTTGTCCCTTTTTCTTTCCTAGAGACTTCAGCCCCTTTTACGTGACATACTACCTCTAGATCAGTGTTTCTCAACCTTGGCTGCTTTAAGCTGTGTGGACTTCAACTCCCAGAATTCCCCAGCCAGTCTAGATGTTCAGAGTGTTACTATTTTAAAGGAAGAGAAGCCAATATAAGGCCCCCAGTTTCAGTCTCTTGAGTCATTCTTTGTTATTAATGAATTTATACCCTGCTTTTCTGTTTATGCCCACACTCTTCTTGTCTCAAACTCATCCTTGCACTCTTCCCCTATTTCCTCAAATGGGGAGATATTTATGGGGATAATGGGTTTACAGCCATCCCACTTATCATCTTTTGCCTTAATCCTGACAGTGCCGGGAGAAAAAAAAAACTTGTTTTGATTGACTGGCATTATTTTATCAGTAGAAGGGAAAGTGCTATTTTTAGCAGAGCTGTTCTTATCTCCATACTCTTTGGACTTGAGTAACTGAAAGAACAATTCTGTAATGTACTTTTTCCCTCTTCTGAAGCAGAGAATCAAGTAAAACTTTCCAGACCAAAAATACAAGTCTTCTAATTATTTCCAGCTAGTTTAACAACTTTGTTGTTGTTGTTGTTGTTGTTCCAAGAGGTATATAATTGACAAAATGTCTGGCAACTAACAGATAGGAGAACTGAGTCACAAAAATAAGAAAATGATATTTTGACCCATAATTTTCAGTAAGTCCCCAAATCCTGAGGAGCCTCTAGTAGAGATATTACATACTTTATATGTTGATTTTCAGGGGGTAGGCAGCAAAACCGACAAAGTGTTATAGTCCATTAAATATTAATATTATAGTACAGTTTTCTTAATCACATTCATGAGATAATGGTTATAGACCACAACTTTATATAATCATAAATGTATGTTGTCTTTGTTCTACAAACATTTTTTTGCATATTTAAACAATGTATTGTTAAAATGGTAATTATTATTCAAATTTACCTATCTATTTGTCATAGGAAGATAAGTAATAATTCAAAGGCCAAACTGTAAAGCATACTAAAATGTAGGTTGAAATTATTCTACTAACACTTTGATTTTCAAACTGTGATTTAGGTCCAAGGACTTCTGTTATATAGCCTTCTTGACAAATAAATTTACCAGAAAATGGCAGTGTCCCATTTGTGCATGGCAAGAGTAAGGTCCAACAGATTTCCTTAGTTTGAAGAAAGTGAATTATTATCCTAGAATATGTGCTCCCAATGCCCTGCATTGCTTAGGATTTCTTTAGCAGCTGAAAAAGGATGGAAATCTGCTGGATCTAAAGCAGAAATTGAATGAATGAATGAATGAATGAATGAATGAATGAATGAATGAATGAGCGCTTATTAGATTTATACTGTGTTTTTATTTTGTACAGTTCAAAGTGGGGTACATAGTGTTCCTGCCTCTATTTTCTCCCCAATGACTGGCCCAAAAACATTCAGCCAGCTTCCTTGCCTTAAGGTGGGCTAGAACTCATGGGCTCCCAGTCTCTAGTCCAGCAACTTATAAGAAATAGATAGACAGATTCTCTCTTACACACACATTCTCACTCTCACACACACAGAACTATCCCTGACCAGTATAATTTCTTGCTTAAAAAAAACTTCACACTGCTTGTTGAAAATGCCAAGGCCTTTGCAGTGATAATGAGAGGGAGATTTCTAGGGCTTAAGAACAGTAACAAAAATATTCTCTGTATCCTTCCTTCCTTCCTTTTGTGGATAGAGGACAATCAGGAAGGTTCTCTGGTTAGAATTTAGCAGGTGCTAACAGTTCTTTGTCGAGAAATATGGAACAACACTGTGTGGCGTAAAGATTTGAAAAAATCAGCATATACATAAAGAAGGAAGATGCAAGACAATGTGCAATTTACTGAACTCTCATATTCTTCACACAACCAAAAGTTTGTTTAAAAGTTTACAAAGAAGGAATGATTTATATATGGAGAGAGAAATGCAAAATGAACAAGCAGTTTTTCAAAAAGACACAGGATGATATAGTTAATGATGGATAAGGATGACAGCAAGAGAATTTAAGAATGAAGTTTACCTTTGCTTTACTGACTACAGCAAGGCCTGATGTATCAAACATTCCAGAATGTGGAACATATTAAGGTTAATTTGTATGTCAGAACCTCTGATTATTCTTTTGAGGAGCCCTTGCAATAAACAAGAAGCTCCTGTAATAAATGAGTTTGGAGAACCAGTGATTCTGAATAGGAAAAGATCTGAGATAAGGATGTATATTGTCTCCATATTTTTTAAAATGTACAGCAAATAGATTAAAATTGGAAGAGATGACAGCTGGAATTAAAGCAGGGGGGCTGAAACACTGGCAAATTGTATGCAGATGATACTACTTCATTAGCTGAAAATAAGACATAGCACATTAGGAAAATAAAAATGGAATGTAAAATGTCAGTTAATGTTAAATACAGAGAAGGCAAAGGTACTGTTAATTAGCATGCTTAGTGCATTCATAAGTAATGGTGAAGAAGTAAAAGTAGTAGATAGTTTTGTTTTCTGAAACTGGAGAAAATATTAAGACTGGCAATATGCTGGAGAAGTAAAGAAATTAATTTTAGGAAGGAAAGCAATGACAAACTTAGACAAGAGCATGAAGGATAAGGGTATTTCCATGACAACATATCAGAATGGTTAAATAAATGTTTTTCCCCAGTGCGAAAGCTGGACTTTGAGAACAAGAGAAAAATAGTTGATGGTTAGTAAGCATACTATGGACTGCAAGAAGAATCAATCAATGAAGTAAAGGCAATGATCAGAAAAAGAAATTTATGTGTTGGGGCATGTATTGTGAGTAGATGATAGACTAAAATAAATGACTAAGTTTGGCAGGGCTAAGGGGAGAAGAGGAAGATGACAGATAACGTGGATTGATTGACAAGACTAGGGATATCACAGGGATATCCCTGGAGCAGGTGTGATTGTCACTAGATACAGGTCAAGATGGAGGGCATTTAGTCATTGTCATCACCAGAAGTTGGTCCTGACTTGATAGCATGTAATTCGCTTATAAAACTGTTGTTCCAAAATGAGATCTACAAATTGCCCGTAAAGTAGAGGCCTAACTGCTTGGTTCCTTGGGTATCGATGCTGTCTTTTCAAATTGAGCTGATGCAGCTGGCCAAAGGCAGCCAGAAAAGTTCTGTGTTCTGGCTGAAGCCCCGCCCCCATCCTGAGGTGGGGTCACTGCATTCCAGTGCAGCTGCAGCTGTTGAATTGCCTTTAAAGAGAGGCATACGTAGGATTCATTCTGCATAGGCGGCAAGAAGAAAGCTGGGCTTGATTTTCATTTGAAACTAATCGTTCTGTCAGCCGGTGTTTGCTAATATTTGTCAATATTGGGGAAGCAGCGGCAGCAGCAGCATTTGTGCAGTTTGATTCAACAAAGCATATTATATATACATGCTGTAGCGTGCCGTTAGAAAAAGGCAAGTGTCTTTTATAAAAGGAATCTAAAACTGTCTATTGTCATAACTCTTATATTTACACTGGCTGCTTTGGCAAGGTTAAGAACTGGGCTCTACTATAAAACCTAAAAATGTCCTGGACATGGAGTTGTTTATGTAAAATATGAGAAGATCTAAGGTTACAGGACTTGGGATTGGAAGAGCTTTTAAAACCAACCTCTGAGTGCTGACGTCATGTGGAAACCAGTGCTGGGATGATGCTGAACGGAACTGTTTGTCAGTTTGCAAAAATTGCAAAGTCGATCTAATATTGCTCTAAGGACTTTCTCCTGATAGAGAAGCCGATGCTTCGTCTCTCTTTGAAGGATCATTGTTTTCAGAACTGGAAAGCCTTTTCTCACCTCCCTCTTTTCACTGCTGGTTTCACTTGGACGGAAGGGATTCTTCCACTGCAAAGGGTAGGTTTATCATTTGTTTTCATTTCCTTCCCCCCCAAAAAATAATCATTCCAATTTCTTCATTGAGGACATTTGGAATATTTTCAAAAGAAGTAGGAATGCAAATGCAATGCCCAAAAGTTATTTCTGCATCTGTCTAGTTCCTCTGGCTTTGAATAGAGGTAGTAACTGTAAAAAATGGGCTTTTTAAGGGAAAGATTAAGCTCAATAATGATAGCCTAGTTTCAAATGGACTTTCAGGTTTCTCAGCATGAAAGTTTCTTGGACATGTATGCACAATAGTAGTGCTGTTGTAGTGATCAAAAGTAATTGTTTTGCATTGTGAGCTCAAAATCTGGCAGAGCTGAATGGCAGTTGCTTATAAATCAAAAGAAGACCCTGTTTATCTGATAGCTGTCTTGGGCATCCCACTTTGTCGTCTCCATTAAAATATAACACCTCCTTAGCTGATGTCACTGCCTTGTATTTTTAGTAGCTGCTTTCCATATTCCAGAGAGTATGTATTTCAAACTGTTTGGATCGGTGTGTATTGGTGTGTGTGTTGAGGGAGAGGAGAGTAAAAGGGTACCTCGCATGGTGTTTTTAAGGAAAGTTGGTATGTCTCAGCGAAGAGAGAGGAGGGAGAAGAAGAAGCACACGTGAACAATGCAGATGACACTGATCTCATTCTTGGAAACTCTGCATTAGTTTTGAGGTCCTGACCTTGTCTAGGACACACTGAAGTGTCAGTACAGCAAAAGGACAGATGCCCTACTGTTCCTCAGGACAAATGACTTTGGATTACAGGCATATTCTTGATTTTTGCATGCAGAAGCCATGTATCCATGCTCCTGGTGTATTTATGCTTGGCAGGATTCACTGTTTTAAGTTTTTCTTGCAGTATATGTATGAAGGGAACAGACCTTTGAGTCTAGTCTCTGAAGGAAGACAAGATTGACAGAGCTGAGGCACGGAGCAAAGGACCTGCAAGGATTTTATTCACCATAAAACGAACTTCAGCATTTGGGGCAAAATTAAACTCTGGGCTGTTTCACTGTATATAAATATCAAGCTTGAGGTTCAGTCCCCAGGAAACAGTTAACAAAATATGATAGCAGTAATATGAACAGACAACAGGCTATCTAGAGAAAGTCAGTGTGGTGCTTCAATCATTCTACAACTTAATTCCCCCTAGATATATTGAACTGTGACCCCTCATCCCCAGCTACACATTGATGATACTGGTTAAGGATGATGGGAGTTGTAGTCTAATTTATCTGGACATTCCTTTGTTGGAAAAGGCTGCTCTTATAGGTAGTACTAGGAACACTTTGCATAAGTTTTCTAGTGGTTTAAATGGAATAATGTGCAAATTGGCTTATAGGCTTTATTGGGGTTAAACAGTAGTGGATTAAGGCAACTCTTGTCATTGTTTTATCAAGGAGAATCTGAGGCTCAGGAAGTGACTTGCCACAGACTGAATCCAGGCAGAAAAAGGACTGGCATTCAGATTTTCTGGACTCTGACCCCACAACCTTATTGCCTAAACCACATGTCAACTTTGCTGATACAAGCTAATTTGCTAGGACCCTCTGGGTAAAGAGCTATCATAGGGTAAGTGCTTGAATTATGTGAGCCTCAGTCCTCTTCTGGTCATTTTCATTCTGTGCGACATGTAATGCAATGTTGTTCCAGAATTTGATTGCATTTTGATTGCCTCTAGTGTGGTTTTCTGAAATGTAGCTTAGTGAGAAACCAATTGTTCATTGCAGAGATTGATTTAAATAGCCAAACAATTTTAGAAATGCTATGAGTTCTTTTGCTTTTTAATACATATGTTAATGAGTGCTTTACAAGAGAAAGATCAATACCCACTTGGTAGGAAAATGTCTTCTTTTCATGTTTGTGGTATAGTACTGGTATATTTTTTGCTTCTCCTTGAATTACTACACTGAATAGTACTTTCTTTTCTCCAGCTTCTCTGCTGATCCCTTTATATGGGCTGCTGAAAAGATACTCAAGCCAGAGGACCAAAGAGAGAGATCCTCTTAATTTTTCTGCTGTCTGAACAAATCTACTCAAATACAGCAGCCTCCAAATACTGTACATTTGAAAAAAAATAAAAAAGCAAGACCAAATGATCCTCATTAAAAATATTGAAAGGGTTGCACATGATCATCTTCAGATGGCATTTGGAATGCAAACAAGCTTACAGAACAGAAAAGTTAAGCCAGTTGTTTTTTAGCAGCCGTCACTTCAGTTCCTGGCGCTGAGCTAGAACCTTGGCCCTAGAAGTGGAAGAAGCTTCATTTTGCTTGGCTTCTTGTTCCTTGAAGCCAAGATAATTTGTTTAAATAATCAACCTCTCTTGTCTCCTTTTGTGTGGTATCCTAGGGAGGTTGGAGCAGCTCTGTTACCTGCAGTGACACTGCTTTTAATAAAGCTGTCTTGAATTTATCCAGGCAGGAATTAAAAAAAAAAAATTCCTGAATCCCAAGTTGGTTTGGGCAAACATTTGTAGCAAAACTGGAAGAGGGGGAAAAATGCACTGCCTGGAGCCTCAGATAAAGGCCTAAAGGCTGCATTGCACAGGTAATGGCATGTTGCCATCTAAACCCACCTGATTTTGAGAAGTGGTAAAGTTTATTTGTTGGTTGCATTTTTTAAAAAACTTTCATTTTGTCTTATTGCTAAGAAAAGGAATTCAGGGAAAATTTAAACTAGAAGATTTAAAACAAAGGATTGGATCTGGCAAAGAAAGAAAAATTCCTTTCATTAGCAGGGAGTTATTAATCCAGAATTTTTGCACCCTTTATTGTCCACTGAGTTCTTTAAAAGTAGGTTTCAGAGAGTTTGAAGAGATGTTGAGGGTTACAGAGGGAAATCTGTCCACTGGAGCTTTCTGAGAAGAATTAAGTTCAAAGACAGTTCTGCTGCAAGGACTTTGTCATTCAATCCAGTTTATTCGTATGGTGTATATATGCCTTCCAGTGACCAGTGTATACATGAAAAGTTCTTTTTTACTAGCCATGGAATGATAGAATGTGGGACCAAAAAGAAAGCATTCCACAAGATAGATACTACCGTAGTAGAAAAAAACCCAAAAACCTACAAATAGAGTGGCTAAACTGAGATAGGATCAGTTGGGATGAAGTGGGAGGTGAGAAGGGAGAGGAAGACAGGATGGTTATGTAGATGCAGGTTACACGTGACATAGATTAAAACTACTTTATCAATTTACAATTGTAACGTGTTTGTTGAGACCTTTTGAGATAGCCCCAAACATTTGATGTATGTGAGTCAGCAATCTCTTGCTCAATCGTGCTGTAGTCTCATTTTTCCAAAATAGTCATGTTAAGATCTGCAGTAGACTATCCTGAGAAGTTGAAATGCTCTGATACTACTTGTTCTGAGTACTGATGTCAAATTTGCATCCGTTAATTTTTATGCACAAATTTTGTCTTACGTAGAATCCAGAGGGGGTTGCTGGAAGATGATGTCTTATATTACATATGAGGAAGAGCATGTGAAGGCATTTCTAATTTCATGTGTGTACTTATGGGGGCCTATGATGGTGCTGTTCATGTAGATGTGGGGGCAAAGTAGACATCTGGGCTTGTTGCATGGTCTGGTTCCCATATTAGCAGTATTGTCCTGTTGTTTCTTTTTGCTTGTGAAAATCTGCTTTGGATTGGGAGGTTGTCTGAATGCAAATATGGGCCTGCCACCCAGTGCCTCAGAAAGCGCAGCGTCTCAAATGTAATTTTTCATCTGCATAACCATCCTGCCTTTCCCTCCCCCCTCCCTCATTTCAGACTAAATCCTATATAAGTTTAGCCACTCTAATATACTGAGCTGCAGTTCACAAAAGCTTAAGTCTTTCAAGAAAATTAAAGTACTACTAGACTCCTTTTGATTTTTGGCTTCCATAGAGTAACAGAATTCTCCTCCTACAATGGAGCATCCCAGGAAGACTACATAGAAGAAGCTGGTTCTTTCTTCATCCCTTTTTAAGTTGCAGATCAGATGTCAAGTCACTGAACAATGAGCTACAGATCCCTGGAGAGTTGAATCCACTTCTTAGTCTTTGCATTTTATAGAAACATTATAGGGAGTTCAATTGATATAAAAATATCTTGAATTGTTCATGGAAGGACCTGTCCCTGGATCTGATGGTTGGCATTTCCCTGATTGATTAGTTTTGCTCTGTAAAGAAAAGGGAGAAAATAACAGGAGACAGATGTGAGACAAAGAAGCAAAATGTATATTAGAGATAGGTTATGAATAGTATCGCTGAAATAATCCCTGGAGTGAAATATTAATTCTGATGGAAGCAGCTTCCAAAGATATGTTGTTTTTGTTATTCGAGACAAATGGAAAATTGTTTTGCCTAAACAAAGTATCATGGCAGAGTGATAATATTAATGTTAAAGAAAATGTTAACAGTAACACCTTCAAGCTAAATTCTCCAGCCTAGGATCTTATTCTAAGATAAGAACCAAATCAGAAGTTCACAAACTTTGCCGTGATGAAGCTCCTTAGCACAGGCTGGGGGAGAGAGCAGGAATCCCAAAGGAGTAAAACAAAAACCCAAAACCCAAAAGTGTTGTTTCTTCCAAGTCACCCACTGTCAGAGCAACCTGTGTCAGTTAGATTGGGAGATTGTTTTATTTGCTTCTCCAAGATATAAAAGTCTTATACCAATCTGTCATTTTGGCTGGTCTCTGTAGCATCAGACAACAAGTGCTGGCTCAAATTAACGAATGTACCTTGTATAAAATAGATCTAACATTTCAGTGAGAGTGTCAGGAGAAGCTATATAAATGGAAGAGACGTGAGTGATGTAAAAATTACCAAAAGTTACAAACTACAATAATGCAGCCTTATCAGATTTTCCTCTTTGTGACAACTAACCCTTACTTTTCAGAGAGTAAAAAGAAAATACTTCAGATTGAAAGGAAATTACAGGTAATTTTGTTGGCACCTGTTAGTATTTTTGTAACTGGAATTATTCATGGCTGCCAGGAAGGATTTTGTCCATCAACTTGATGAGGATGAGGGAAAACTAGGTTTTTCCCCGTAACAAGTGTCTAGGCCTTCTTAGTTCCTGTTCACATGATATGGCATGGAGAATGAATAGGCCAATATAGGGAATTAGAAGTACATTCACTGATCCCACATTCTGTCTGCAGTAGACTTTTTGAACAAACCCAGTCATGTTGCACACTTGCAAGCTCAGGGTATAAATTCTATAGACTGTATGCAGATCAGGCAGGGACAGTGGGTATGATCCTGTGAATTGAATTCACATTCCTTGCTGTGTGAACAGGGCTTTGGCAAGCCATCATCCATAGAGATTAAGATGTTTTTATAAAGCTCAGACATGTTGGATTAAATCTGAACTGAATAAATACTATCACATCTTGCAAGTCTTTTCATTGTAGGACAGAAATTGAAGGTAGAACATGGGTCAGCAACAGCTCACTGGCCAATTTACGTTTAACAGCATCTGCAGCTTGATGAGATATTTGCAAAGAAAAGAAGTTTGGTCTCACCTTGCAAGATATTTCCTAAATTCTTAAGAAGGAATGGATACTTCAAAACTGCTAAGACATATGTGTCCAATGTGATTTTTCTCTTGTGCTGTAAATATTTAGAACATGTGGGTGGACTTGGTGAAGGAGGGACTGTTTTCCCTGAAGTTGGCCTGCTACAGTTGTAGAACACTTTGTGTATGTTTCTATATATGTTTGTTTGGAAATGGAGAGAGAGATTAACTGTGTTGTTGTAAAAGCATCTTAGCAAACACACTATTTTTATACTGTAGGCTGTCTTGTCAACAGTCTGGACATAGTGGTGGGCAAGCGTCTTGAGCATTCCAGGCCCTGCAAGGTTGTGAAGGCCTTAGTTTCAGTGCCAAGTCCTTGAGGGAAAATAGAGGTTGCTCCGCAATCTTTAGGAACCTCACGTTATTTTGAAAGATTGGACATCATGAACCTGAAGAGGCACTGAAGTGTGAACATGCGCTTATTTGCAGGAATATACCCTGTATTTTTATGTATGCCTGTTTCTTCTTAAGGAGCTGCTTAATAATATAACAGCAGAATACTTAATTTGATGACTGGCCACATACTTTATATGGCATAGCTTTTAAAAAAAATACATTTATTTTTTAAAAAGAGGATGAAAGTAAGTGAAAAAAAATCCAATTCCAATATTTCAAAAGTCTAGAATGTGAAAATATATTAATCAAATTGGGCATTGACCAAAGGCTTATTTTTACAGCAGTGATACATGTATACTTTTGCAGAGATTATTTCTGTTTCATTGTACTGCATACTTGTCTATAAAAAAGTTAAGCACAGCTCTAGAAATGATTTGTTCCATAATCATTATCAATTTGTTTTTTTCATTATCACCACAGTCTCTGCACATTACTACATTCTTACTACTTTTTAAATCATACTTCTTTTGTAATTGAGTTCAGCAAACACTGCTTGATTATCTATCTTCTGTTATGCCTTTAAAAATATTGTATTGTATTGTATTTATTTCTTATTTCAATTTGTATAGCTGCCCTTTTCAGATATATGACTCTGGGTGGTTCACAGCAATTAAATATATACAGTATACATACATACATATATACACATACATACATAACACACAGAATATAAAATATATAAAAATAATATAAAACAGTATTTTAAAAAACATTAAAAACCAGACATTTAAAACAGCTTTCCAAACTTTGCATGGCTTTCCAAAACGGTGATTAAAAAAAGTATCTTTTGAACATTGCATTCCCAGTATTTTTGTACATTTTAAAAGAATTCTTGTGAACATACAGAATCACTGCGTTACAGAAACACAAACAACATGTGTTACAATTACGGAAACCAACATGTCTCTTTTCACAGATGTGTTTCCAGCACAATGCTTTGTAATTTTTTACTTTTTCATCTCGTGCCCCAACCCTGTTGCCCTGCCAGAGAGCTATAAAGATCTAGCTTTTCTCCTATGTACGGCTGGGACAATATATGAGCCTGTTCTGTGATGTGTGTTTGTGGTTTTTATTGCAAGCTTCAATTGTGTATTGGTTGTGTTTTTGATTCTCTTGGGTTTTTTGTTTTGGTATTTTATTACATTTTTAAAAATTTCTTTTGTACACTGCCCAGAATCACCAGTAGTGAGAGGGTTATTTATATCTTATAAATAAACACATAAAAAAGCAAGCAGAATTTGTAAAATACAGCCTGTAACTAACCGTTAATGCAAATAGTATCTTTTGGTTTTTCAGTGTTCCTTTTCCTATTTTTCTCCAGTCCTCTCACCAAAAAAGAAAAAAAAGAAAAGTGGAATCTGAGACAAAGAAAGCTTGCCCTAACTTCACCATTCCCACTTTCCAAGAGACACTCATAAGAGAAAAGAGGAAGGCACATCCCCTTCTCTACTGACTCAGCAACACCATGGACCTTCAGACCCAGCTAGAGCATATGACTGAGAAGAACTGGAGTAAAGAGAAGATGGAACTGTTAGAACGTTTCGACAGTGAAAGGAAAGAATGGGAATGCCAGTGGAAGGTCATGCAGAAGAAAATAGAAGAGGTATTGTGGATTATTTTGGACATCAGCTATAATGTCCAAACTAATATGGTGATACTGTCTTTTAAAAAGGCACAAGACTTTAGGGAAATTTTCATGGATTGCAATAGATCGGTTAGTGCTATCAGCCCACTATTTTCTAAAGCTGGGTGATGATATTGTGATATTGGGCTATTTTCTAGGCTGCAGTTTTCAAAATTATCAGCCATGTTTTTGGCTGACTGCTTCGTTTAGGGATTACAGTCAGAACAATGAAGATGAGGACATATATTAACTATATCTTACTTTGGAGCATTCCTGAAAAGTGGTTGTACATACAGTAATGAAATCCACCATGGAACGAGTTTTTGTAATCTCTCTAGGCTGTTTGTTCCATTGCTAACCTGGTTTTATAATTCAAAAGGTTTCACTGCCTATTTTTCTATATAAATCCATTGCATCTTACTCTGTAGACCACTTATTGCAATAGAGCTAATAGCCAACATTCCCAACATTATTTTAACCGAATATGATTTTGTATTTCATGTCAACCACGTTCTTTAAAACCAAGGAACAGATAAGCACAGACAAACTGGTGATTAGTAAGGTGCATTTAAAGTAACTTTTTATTATATAGATATTGTTCAGAAAATACAAAATTGTTGATTGTTCTTGGCAGAATATGCCATGTGTTTTGTATATATTTTACTGATATATTATTAATTACTTTCATCCAACTTTTTTCATTGTTTAATTACAAAGCAGTCTTCAAAGCTAAATGTATTTGGGTTTAGATATTAAGCAGGAGCAGTGCATGCTTTGCTTAGAAAAATTAGACATAGGGTTGGATCTGGATTTATTCATGAGAAGAATAGACCCATTAAAATATCTGGGACTTGTTAATGATGTATAGAGAGCCAGTTTGGTGTAGTGATTATGGCAACAAGCTAGAAACCAGGAGACCATGAGTTTCTAGTCCCATCTTAGACGTGAAGCCAACTGGGTGACCTTGACCCAGTCGCTCTCTCTCAGCCCTAGGAAGAATGCAAGGGCAAACCAGTTCTGAAATCTAAAAACTTCAGGGACTAGTCCAGGCAGTTGCTAGGAGTCAACACTTGAAGGAGCCAGGAGTCACTAACTTGAAGGCACTAAAAAACAAACAAACAAATAAATAAGATGCATAACTTCAGACCTATTTATTTTCAAAGGTATAGTTTAAGTCCTGAGTCTACTATAGATGTAACTTTTATGGACATTGCTTCCAAAGATAAACAATGACCATCTTGTTTATTAACATGTAAAAAAATGCCTAGCCTGTAGAAGTAAGTGACATAAGATCACAACACTTTTATTCTGGGTCAGCTCTGCTATAATTATTGATGATGTTCAGCAGAAAAGTGATTGTACTAATCAACATGTCATAGCCAAGATATAAAGCCTCCCAGGGTCACCTAAAGATGGGCAGTGAGAGAGAGAGAGAGAGAGAGAGTATTTATACCACTCAGCACACATTTTTTTCCAGCTTACTATTTTCCCAGCTTTCTGTTCCATTCAGGGACCAGAGCAAACATATTTTTCCTTGTGCTCTGATAATAAAATACTCTGTTGAAATAATGGCTTTATCATCCCAAGTGTTACATTAGAGGTGCATTGGCCCCTAGTCCATCTCTCCTACTGAGTTTCTTAAGATCATAGAACCACAATAAAGTTTGTTGCCATAATGATAGTTCTGACACTTCATCCATTGGATATTTTGTTTGTCCATGGAAATGCTGACATTTTATGAATTGCCGTAGCATTTCCAATGGATGCTACCCTATTTATATATAAACTACTTTGGATGAATGGGTGCATTTGAAGGGAGGTTGGATTAGAATTAAGTTCTCTTTTCAGACCAGGGTGGAGATTTGAAAGAATGACTATGTGCTCCTTATTCATTTCTCCAAATTACTGTGTCCCATTTCAGCACATTAATTCCCATTTGTAGCCACCGTAATTATTCCAACTTAACTGAGAAATGTTTCAGTCTGAGAGCTGATCTGATACAGTATTAAGGGTATAGTGGGAGTCTGGTCAGAATTCATTCCAGTTGGCAGAAAGCACACATTCCAGTGTTGTATGTTTGAAACACAACCAAAATTTTAAGAGTTTTGGGATTTTCTTTGTAATTTATGAGAAGGAAATGTGCTATAGCCCTTGGTTTAATAGCTATTTCTTAAAAGAAAAGAAAAATCTCCAGGTATTTCAGCCAACCAGTGATTTCAGACCCAGAAGACTGATGACATACTGTGTTCATCAGATATGTATGATCGCATATCTGTGAGAGAGCTTTTGTTTCTTTTCCAGCTTTACCAGGAGGTAAAATTAAGGCGTGAAAACAATATGAATATCTCTGAGAACAAGCCCATTCATAACAAGGCAGAGAAACAATCTTGCTCCCCCACTTTAGAATGGAGTGATGCACCAGGATTGAACAGTTGTTCACCAGATAAAGAGAGTTTGCACAGCAAAGCCGAAAAAGAAAGCAAAGGTGTGAGAAACAAAAGGAGAAACCATGCTTTTGCAAAAGATCATCTCACTTTTGAGAATTCTAAGGAACCTGAAGACTGTGTAGACTTGAAAACAACCAAGAATTACACTCAGGATCTCAACATTGTGAGTAAATTTGTAATGGTTGTTTCAATGGTTGTTGAACATAACCCACTGCAACAATTTATTTACTTAATGTGGTTAGCTCATCTATTCTAAACCAGCTGGAAAGTAACAAGAGCAGGTCAGCTGACTGTCCTGACTGGAACTAAATAAATGTGAAAACATGCTAACTATAGCTACATGAATGTGAATTTAGGACTTCTGTACCAAACATATCTTCCCCAAATAGTGAGGTTTCAGTAATTTGTCCATCAATGCTTTTCTACGTTCCCCAGTTTTTTGTTATTTTATCAGAACTTCTTAAGCAGTTCATACTTGATGCAGTCATTATATAGGTTCCATGCAAACCAGGGTTTGTAAATTTGGAACCAACCTTTTGAATGCTTGTCCTCTACCTTTCACCTTCTACTCTGTCAAAAAGAGTATTCCCTTCATGGCATTAATCATACTTTTTGATTACGTGGTTACTAATGCATGCCTCATTTCTAATTTTTCTAACCTTATATTCTTTTATCCCATTTCTCTACTGATTTGTGAATTGCAAGAAAGTCAACACAAACGTTCACTTAAAAAAAAATATCTAAATTTGTTTAGAAAATCTGAATTGGGAATTCATAACCTAACCCAGAGTCGCTTTGTGAAATCGGCAGCTATAAAAACGTGATGTATAAATTAATAAATTGTACATGAAAATGCAAAGGAATTTCTCCGTTAGCCCTTACTATCACTAAGGTAAACCAGACTCCATTACTGTGATGCTGCAAAAATCTAGTTTATAGACCCTAATTAACAAGAGGATCTGGGTTTTCAGTAATCACAATTATGTCAATGATTATGCAGTATCAAATCCTGCTAATGCTTAAAAGGAAAAAAGTCTCAAAAGAAATGGAAAAAGAGAGTATCTCCACACAAAGATTTTGTGACAGCTCAAAACTGGCTCTGAATTTGTCTGATCAGATGATATTTGCTTGATTCTCATGCTGAATCTTCTTCCTTTTTTTTTTTTTTTTGGCTTTGTGCCAGTTTATTTAAAACCAGAACAAAGCTGGTATTTTCTTTTGTGGTCATAGAGTTTGTAGGCTATCCATTCGCTTATGGGCAGAAATCCTTGGCTCCCCTTGTTTCCCAGCTCCTAGGTTCAAGTAAGCAATTTTATTTCAAAGTAGTTGCTTAGGGGGAAAATACCCTGTGCTTGAATGGTGTTAAAAAAGAAGAAGAAGGAAGCTGATAGAACTGGGCTACTACACATGGAAAAAGATTGCAAAGAACTGCAAATATTCAGAACAGTCTGTTCGGTCCTAGTTGCATTTTAAAATGGCATTCTTGGAATTTGGCTGTAGTAGGGTTATGTAAGTGTTCATCAACCCATTGTTCAGCACTTATTTCCCTCTCTGCAGCCATTATAACAGCATGCAATCATGGTTACAGGTATTGGGAAATACACCTAGTTGCCAAAATATCAATAGAGGTTATATTTTCAGATGCTTTTCTATGCAACTCAGTGATGATAGCAAGGTGATTTGGGTATGTCTGGCTTTTTTTTAACAAGCACCATCTCTTGTATAACGTCCTATTGTAACAAGTTGGGGAGGGGCAGAAACCACTTGTTTTAATTTATGTTTTGCATAGAGTAAGGGAGAGGAGATTTTTGATTTTCAGAACTTGGCAGTTGAGGAGTTGGAGCACTATTTTTTTTTTTTTGCATTATCCAATTGGTGCTGGAGAATTGGTGTTTACTGGCTCATGGTGATCTCAGAATATTCCCTGTGTTCTGAAGTCAACGCAGTGATAATGTGAGTCTTCCCCATCATATGTCCTGCTGTGTTGGGACCACAGTTTCTAGAATTCCTAGCTATGAGTTAGCACATGATTTGCAAACTGCAGAATGTAGTGTGCTGGCTTGTTTTACTCATTTATTTCAAGGTAGGTAACATGATGCCCAATATATATTTTGAATTACAATTCTCCAAATCTCATGCTGTTTGTTTTGCTGATGTCCAAAAATTATAGAAAGCTACTCCTGATTTATTTCAGTAAGTTAAATCCTGCCTTTCTACAATAAGTACCAAGGTAGTTCACAAGAAACTACTGTAGCACAAAATCATAAATATAATAAAGTCATAATTTAAATAGCAACAGTTGCTGGGCGTTTCCTCTAACCTAGAACATGCACCATTGAGCTTACAATTATTCTATATATTCTATAGGAATTGGATTATACTCAGATATTGTGATTTATATTTCTAAAGGCTCTTAAAGAACTTGCCAAAGTAAGTGAAGACTTGGGTACCTACCAAGAAGAAATCCGTAAGAAAGCCAACCATAGAAGGTAAAATGATCAGATTTTTTGTTACTTTAGGCCCATATTGGAAAAAGAGCCATAAATACATAAAGATTTGCTTTTCTAGTGAAGGAGGATAAAGTTACCCCAAGCCCTACTTTCTGTGTGAAATTAATAGTTTCCTGAGTTGAAAGCTCCTGGAATTTTTGCAGAAGTATTCATCCCACAAAAATATATATGGGTATGTGGGAAGATAATATATTTCTATAATATATAGGCTAGATTGGTTAGAGTGTGGTGCAAATCCAATCAGCAGGGCTAGTTCATGGTTCAAAGGGCTGCGCTTACTAAACCAACTGAGTTAATTAAGTAAACCATAATTAGATAAATGAAAGATAAGCATGGGATGTCCCTTCCAAGAGCATTCTGTTCCTCCCAGAGAAGTGACTGAGAGACTGCTGAAAAACTTCCCACTGCTCTGAGTGGCAGGAAAGGTATTTTTAGAAATACAGATCAAATCTTTAATTGTACCCCAAATCTCTGGATTTATGACCCTAACTAACACGTTCTGTTAATTTCAATGGGACTTATTTATTATTTAACTGTTTTCCTTGCCCGCACAGAAAAAAAATGTTGCCTTTCCTTGGAGAATCTGTTGAAAGTGGGAATGCACTGATTTCCCAAGAGACAAGCCATGCGCATTACAAGAACCCACAACTGGCTTCAGCTGCCTCTGAGACAGAGAAGCAAAATAACAGAAAGAACCTGATTAGCACCAACAGGTGTTTGAAGGAGATGCCATCTACTGCTCTTTCTGGGATTGAGGAAACCAGCTTTTTGCCTTGGCAAAAACGAGAAGCGCCTCCTGTTCCCCCCAGAAGCACCTCTCGGCATTTGACAAGCTCTCTTGCGGAAGTTTCTGAAGCATTAGCTAAGCATGCTGAGCATAGAAATAACTGCAAAACACAGGAGCATCCAGATGCAAATCCATTAATTTATCCAGCTGCTCCACTGGCAGTGACAGATGAATGGAAATCTCTTAGTGGGCCTACAGAAAATCAGAATCAGTATCTTGACCATAAACTTCCAGCAGGAATTCTTCACAGTGCATGGTCTTGTGATGCAAGCAAAATTGGAAATGGTCCTGAAAATGGCTCTTCCCCACATGGTGTCCAGAAGTGCTCTTCTGATGCAAACATGGTGTCCCCAAAACAGCATCCCAAATTTCAAAGCAGTGTACATTGTACCAGTAATCCTTATACTGCTGCATGTGACACACTGGATGATTCTGGGTATGAAACTGGAAAGACTCAACGCAATGAAACACTGGAAGCAAAAATTGATGAGTTCAACCGAACTGTATTTCATACAGATAAAGGTAAAAAATGTTTGCTGCAGAACCAAACTCCATTAGTGCCACCTGGAGTTCCTAAAGCCCACTGTGGACTGCAGGACTGTCTGAACAGCAGGACACAAAATGAAGAGACAACTTGGGCTTTGAATTCCAAGCTGTCTTCAAAGAAGGAAGAAAATTCAAACCGGCCCAGCAAAGAGGTCAAAACAAAAGGGCAGCAAAAGCAACTAAATGGAGTTTTAAGCAGCTACCAGCACATGCTTCATGAACATGACTGGAGGCCAAGTAATTTATCTGGTCGTCCGCGATCAGCTGACTCAAGGTCCAACTATGGTGTTGTTGAGAAGTTGCTGAAAAACTATGAAAAACAGGTGCAGTCTGAGTCTGAATTTACTGAGGGGAGCTGCAGAAAAATGGGTCATTATTCAGTAATCCAGATAGACCAAGGAAAGCAAGAGCAGCAGAAGAATTCAGTGAGACACATTGGACTATACACTAAGCATGGAAAAGAGAAGCAGAAATTTCCTGAGGTATGCTTTGAACATGACATTGGCCCACTTATTTAGCTTATTTAAACTACATATGTTCTTCCTCAAGAATTCTGAAGTATATCACTGATGCTGTTAGAACTGGACTTCAGGACCTAAATCTGAATTCCAGTGATGGAGATTGGTGGCAGGACGTATGGGGGCTGATCATATCTTTTTCTGCTTCCACCCCTATCTCAAATTTACATCCAGGGTTGATGGCTTAGCACCTGCTCAGCAAGGTGTCAAGTAGAGATTCAGGCATCACTGCTATCTTTAGATCCCTGGAGTGGCAGTGTACTCAGGAAATGAATTAAGTGAGAAGTCTGAGATCTGATTGGTGTTCACTGAGCAGAGTGCCAATTTTCTCATCCTGGATTTAAATGTAGAAAAAGGAAAGATGTATTCTTTCCCATTAACCATTAAACTGTGTGGGCAGGGAGTGAGCATGATTATTTTATTTGTTTTAATTTACAGTACTTATAACTCCCCCCCCCCCGTCCCAAAGAACAGTATCAGAAACAAAAACAAAAAACAAAAACCACAGAAAGCAAAGATAAAGCTACCAGTCAAACCCAGGATGGGTGCCCACAGTTAGTCAGCTGGGACTGAGAAAGTGTGGAAATAAAAATAACGGTGGACAGAGAAGAAAAGAGAGCTGAGAAAGTAGCCTAGTAGGCAGAGATCTAAGCAGGAAAGTGGTAGGAGGAAACAGCATAGATATAAAGAGGTGGAAGATGAACAGATGTTCCTCCAAACCTTCTCATTTATTATATCCTCACCACAATGTTATGGGGTTATGCTGAGAGAGAGGTCAAGGTCATCTAGCAAACTATGTAGCTGGGTGTTAGAACCTAAATATTGGATGCAAGAGACTTGTATTTCATATGCATTTTACATAAACAATCATGGTAAAAATGTTGAGCAGGTTTATTATTACTCCTGTACAAAGGTTGCCCCCAAAATTCTTTGAAACGACAGTAGAGTTGTTGAACAGAGCAGGACCAGACAGAACAAGAGCCAAATACATGAGGATGCAAAGTCCAGTCTTATGTGTATTTAAACAAAAAGAGGTCCAAGTACATATTTACTCTTAAGTAAATGTGTAAAAAATATTGTAAATACTGTATTCAGTTGTAATAAGTTGTACAGTGAACTACATAACTGTCTTTTCATGTGAATAAACTTACAGGACTAGGCTGAAATGATAATATATTCCAGTAGGTAACATATTTTATTTATCTGTTAACATAACTTCTATATTGTCCCACTCTTGGAAATCTTATAGTGTAAACATTAATTCAGTAAAGCAATGAAAACATTAATAAAAGAGCCATGCTGCTCTCAAAGGCCTCCTTAAGCATGAAGGTTTTTAAGAGCTTCCTGTAAGCCAGGACAGCAGAGGGCCAGTTCTCTCTTGGTTAGTAGCATGTTCCACAGAGTTGGAGCTACAACCAAAAAGACCTGTCTTCTGATGTGTGCCCCCTTGCTTCATATTGGGGTGGCACCCAGATAAAAGCCACACTTGATGACTAACAGAACAGACAGACTCATTTTGGATAAGATAGTCCCTGAGATAGCCCACTCCCATGGGGCAATATACTATAGACCAATATCCCAACTGAAAGGGCTTTGTGAGCTACCCCATTAATTTTCCTACTCCTTACATTGAAGTCAGTGGAAAAGACTCAAAGGTGTGTGCATGCATGTGGGCAAGGGGAGGGAGGCTGTACTCTCCAGTTCATGAATGTGTAATACATGACTGGATCAAGATACAGCAGTACCTAGTGGTGAACTGAGTTCTAAAAGGACTTGACAAATAATAATAATAAACCAATATTACAGAGAAATAAAATGAACTGGCATTCCTGGTCAAGTATCTGTAAATACAGCATTAGGAAAAGTTAGATATCATGAAGTAAGAGGTCACGAAGGGAAGAAACTCTCAGTATTGTTTCCTTCCTATACAAAGAGAGCAAGAGTTGACAAATCATTCAGGCAACTGGCAGATATTCTTTCCCTCTGCTGGCATATATTTATTTTTATTTAATATTTATTTAATTTGCAGTTCTGATATTTACATACGTACGTCTAAGGAGGAGTCACATAAAATATAATCAGTACAGAGAGTAGTGCAGAAGTTGAAAGAACTGTTGCACAAGTGTCTGCTAAAACACAACTCTGCATAAACCCAGAGGTTTTTGCTTATATGAAACAGAGCAAACTGAGCCTCTTGGGGCAGAACCACCACTTCCAAAGAGCTGAATGCCTAAACTGAACAAAGTTGAGAAGTATTTGATGCACAATCAACTCTTTGGGCTTGTTTGAATTATCTTCTACACCTAAAGTGTAGGTGTGCAATTTCTTCTGCTTTGGTTGCTCTAAAAGGGGGGCGGGGCAGGTTCTCTTTGGGAGCAGGCTTCATGGCTTTATGAGGGAAGGAATGTGTCCCTTAAACAACTGCAAGACTATAGCACTCAAAATTTCCCCTTAAAACTCTCCCAAACTCCCCCAAATGCAGAAAAATAAGCTCTGAGGGTCACAGAAGGGATGAAGGCAAGTCAGATGAAGCCTCCATCTTTGGTACTTCTTATATAGTTAGGTCTATATAACTGCATCTTTGGTGCTTCTGGTTGAGGATCTAGGCAGCAAGCAAAGAGTATGCACAGAACAAAGCCAGAATTCTTCAGGGCACAAGCAACAAGCTATTGCATGCTGTTCTAGTTATTCTCACTGGCTCCTCCACAGCTGATAAATACAACTGTTTGGAACTTAAGCAAAAGCCAGGTTCTTGCTCCCTTTTTCATGCTGGTTTACAACTGAAAAAATAGTAGTTAGGGGTTTTTAAAATTTTATTTTAACTATAAAATTTACCCTGTTACTCCAAGAGGGTTACATGATCTTGATTAAGGCCAGGATTAATCTTATCTATGCTGTTATAAATTCCTATAGCATCATTTTTCTTTTGTATCAATATCATTGAATTGTTAGAAAATGAGATGGTATGGTTTTACGGTTTTCTCTTGAGAAACAGGACAAAAAAGGACCAGTGACACTAATACTTCCAGATGACCACTTTAGTATAACTAGGGTACATAATATAATGAAGAATATAGTATTTGTAGGTCTTTTTTTTAATGTCTTCAGCCTAAGAAAAAGGGGTTTTGTGTAAAAGATACAAGATGCTCTGGTTACATGGATAGGTGCTCTTGATTTACTTTACTATGTCAAGCTGCTGATATATAAGCTGTCCAGAAGCTAAGCTCCAGAGCTGAATGTGATCCTCTGTGGTAGGGAGCTGCCAGCTCAGTTCTGTTGAAAATACTAGTTTTGTCTTATTCTGTAAGATGATGGTGATGGTGGTGGTGGTGGTGATGATACAGATGGGGAGAAACACAAACATCTCTTAACTGATTGTGAATTACATTTGTAATACATACGCAGTTATTTAGTGATGCCAAGACTAGCTTGTCATTGATATATATCTGGAACCTTCAAGAAAATATGTACAATCTTCCTGGATTAGCAGCATGTTCAGTACATAAACCTATTAGCAGGGCCAGCTTTAGACTGAGGCTGAGTAGACACTGACCTTGGGTGCTAAAACTTAGGGAGCATCAGTGCTGCCTGTCCTTCCAAATTATTCTAAAAATGCAAATCTGTGGGAGGTGGCCCCATCAATCAGTGTGACCTAGGGGCACCATATGCTCTTGAGCCAACCCTGCCCTTTAGCCAGAAAAAAAGTAAAGGCTGAACTAAACAGTGATGTTTAATGGACTCTATTGATTCTTTTTCGGCTTGAAACATTATTCTGGAAACAAAGAGAAGCAATAGTTGAGTGTAATACTTAAAAAAAAAAATCTCCATCAAACTAAGCTGGACTTCTGGTGACATCTTAGCAACAGCATGAGGAAGTGGTTTGCAACTTCCCAGTCTAGCTTACAATCCTGGTATTCTTTAGTGGTCTCCCATCCAAGTACTAACCAGAGCTGATTCTGCTTAGCTTTTTAAGATGACCCAATGTTGAACAGGAGGAACTGTTACTTAGTTAGGTCTGTGTAATTCTTTTATCTGCACTAAATTCTACCTCATGCATTTTTTTTCCTTGGGAAGAAGAGAGGAATAGATTAAGAATACATACATAGTAATTAACTTTCTTAACTGAGGCAGATCTTTTAAATTAAAATTGAGCTAGAATTATGTACATTTCCATATAGCATACAGATTTAACCCCAAGTAAAGCCAGATATAGGCTTTTTTTTTTTTGGCATAATTTGAATTGATGCCATCTGAGGGGAGATTACAAACTGCCAAGCTAAAACTCAGTCTCTCTGCTTGTATGTATGGAGAGGGCTGTAAGTGTATGCGCACATGCATACCTTGTCATGACTTTTTATCCATAAAGTGCTTAAATATAGCAAAAGCAATTTTAGGAAGCCCTCGAAGACCCTATTTGGTCTTGTGCAGACACGTTGCCATTTAATCTTTCACTCACTTATCTTCTTTTTCAGCAGGATGCAATAAGGTTTGTTTTTACGCACTTAAGACCCTGAGTACATGCTGACAGTGGACTTGCATGCTTAACAGAGTCATCAAATGGCCTATTCACTGTGCGCCCACTTCGATAAGTATCAACTCTTTCCAGCAGTGGCTGTGCACAGAGAGGGTAATGTGCCTCCATTCTAAATTAAAGCCTCTTGGGCATTTTGTGTCTTACTTACATGCCACATATTTCTTTGACATGTGCAAGAGTTTTTTGGCCATTACATCTGTACATTACTATGTAAATGGTAAATAAATAATGCATTCGCCAGATCTTTTAATAGCTTGAGGCCACCTGTTGTAAAGCTGACCACATTCACGATGCCATTCTCTTCAGATTCTTAGGATGTTTTTGAAGGGTTTTGTTCAGCTTTCCTAACCCAAGCATTTGTGTTGTAGGTCTCTGTGACGGCCAAGCAGTCAAGTGGGAAGGGATTCTCTCGGCCAGCTCGCCCAGCAAACAGACGCTTACCTTCCAGATGGGCCTCCAGGTCTCCGTCAGCACCACCTGCCGTGAGAAGAACACTTTTGAATGAACTTGCTTGAGCGTTTCAGTGGGTCTGAACCTCTGTGTGGATTCAGGAATGATGTGAAAGTGCCATGTTTTTTAAAACACTCTTTTCCATGTTCCCAACCAGAACTAGTTCTATGCAACTCTACATTGGCCAATAATAACCATATTTTTGACTTGCTGAAGAAACTCTTTGGATTCTTTAATCATTCTTACTGTCTTCAGTGTTATATCAATTAGATAAGGATTCCCCTTTCCTTGAATGTGTATGTGTATATATTTATATATATTTTAGCTCATAGTAATTTTTCTTTGAACCTCATGCCACTATTCATCTCCTTAATCTGTTTTTAATTTAACTTTAGTGCTGTATATTCTGACTTTCCCCACAAAGGGTAGGAAAAAATGCTGTGTGCATGATCATGTCATTTTAGGTGCATGTGTTGAAATAGCAAGTGCATTTCGTGTGTAAGTAGAAGAGATTATTGCCATACCTACATATATCCATGCAGTTCCCAATGTTTGAGATTTGTTTCAAGGTTTGAATATATGAATATACATACATACATACACCCCTGCCAATACTTACATTCTGTATGTCTTTTATAGGCTTTACATGCCTAGTATTTAATATAACAAACCTAACTTACACATTTTTTAAAAAATGCATGCTAGCAGATGGAAAGTTATTGCAGTGATGTCATAGAAGCTGAATGGACTGGTTCTTCATTCGTGCTTCATGTTTCCCTTTTAATCTCCCATTTTTGAAACGTCCCAATGCACAATCTAAAGTTTTACGTATCTTTTTTTCCAGTTCAAATCATCTATTTATAACTGCATTAGCTTTTCTATTTAGCTGTTTCTAAAAAGGAATAATTCTCTTATTTCATTCAGTGTTATATTTCTCAGAAACTAAACTCAGACAACAACATAAGAAGAGCCTTGCTGGATCATGCCAAAAGCCTATCTAGTCCTACATTCTACATCTCCCAGGGCCCAAGCACAAGCAGTTGAGAGTCTCTGAAGTGAGATATGACGTTGAAAGCCCTCTTCTTTCCATCCCTAGCAGCTAGTATTTCAGGTAGTCTGTTTTTGGACTTGGAGATAATATGCAGTAGCCCTTGACAGCCATGTTAAGTTTATTTGATCAGCAGTATGGGTTGGGCCTGGGGAAGGAAGGAGACAGATGTCTACTCAGCATCTCAGAGCAAAGCTAAACTTATCAAGAGGCGCAGATCAACTTATCCCACGTCCCGATGCGACCGCTTTGCCAGCTGCACCCAGGAATAGATGAGCGTTCATTGTAACAATGTCTAGACATTCAAAAAGATAAATTAATGGCGTGAAGATAAACTTTACAAGTGGATGCTGTGATCACATGATGACTCATGTAGTTTGAAATTCCACCTATTAGCCTATTTTTCTCTATTTGTCTTAAGGTGAGGACATAGGGAATAGCCTTGAAGGACAGGAGGAAAAGCCTCTACCAAGGCAATGGTCAGATAAGTGGGGCTTGAGCCCATTCCAAGAAACTAATTTGAGAAAGCGTTTCAGGCAGGCCCCTTCTTAGTTCACATGAAGATAAAGTGAGGGAGGGGGGAAGCACATTCAGATTTGCAAGAATCCGTTACTCTAGCTGTTACAATAAAAGTAGTCCTGATCTCTATGGCATTGGTTTCATAGTCTAGTCTACCTTGTATGGCTGACACCTGATACGTTTTAAAGGAGTAGTGAAGTCATGTACAGAATTAACATTAAGATTTTCCTGGATCAGGACTTCTTCATATGGAGTTGATTCAATTACTTTCTCTTTTGATTATCTAGCCTTCACTTAGAGACTCAGGCCTTCAGCAAAGCAAAGTTAAACTAGTTAGTTTTGCATGGAGGGAGATAGATAAGAACACTATGGCTGTTTGGCATGAAACTACTTTTTTGAGATTTGTGCTCAGCAGAGATGACAGTGACCAGCTCACCGTGGCTGATCTGGAAAAAGCTAAATAGACTCAGCCCTGGTGAGTACTTGGATGGGAGATCACCAGAAATCCCAGAGGTATAGATTACTGAGAAGTCCAGAGTCACCATATTAGAACAAATCAATGGCAAACCCCTTCTGTATTGTTTTCCAAGCAAACTAAAGGGTCATGCCCATATAGCTACAGGAGTCAAGTTTGACTCAAGGAAGGCTTTATTTTACTGAACTTCAGATAGCCAAGGTAACTCCGTGCACTCTTCTCCCTTGACTGACACAAATGGCTGTCAGTTATGAATCTGCTTGTTTTCTGGCTGAAGCCTGACAGAGTGCATAAATATTGCATCAAGATAGTATTGCTGTGGTGCCAGAAATCCTAGACAAATGCCATTACAGGCATGTACTTCCCTTAATCTATCTCTGTGTTGTTGGCTGTTAATATGCTATGTATGTAGCCTGGTTTATTTCTCTTACCAACAGTCTGAATGAAATATCGATTCTACAGAGCTGCCTTACTGAAAGTCATTAAAAAAATTTCTCCTCTTTATGAATGTTCATCCCTCTTCCAACCATGAATGGCAATTACCTGACTGAGCGAGAACAAAGAGGTAATTTTGTTATATCAGCTTGGTTTCTAATCTCTCATTCTTTACCTCACATCAAAATAAGTAGCATTTCAGGCCATGCCATCCTTGACTTACCTGTCTGTCATTTAGATTACAGAGAAAGAGAGAACCTTCAATTGTTTTTTGTGAAGTAATTATGTTACTCTGGGGAAAACTGTTGTATTTATCAGACAGCAATTGTATTGCCTTGGCCTTCTCAGAAGACTCAGAATTGGTTGATATGTATAATGCAGTAGTTAATTTTATAGAACCTGTTCACAGCAATCCTTATGTTGTACCTGGTGTGCAACCCTGTGTCAATGGTTCATTTCCATATTCCCGTATTTTATTATATTGCTATTCATGGTGAGTGACAAAGAGAAAACACTGCAAAACTGTTCATCACTTCTTTCTTCCCCCCAAAGCTTTGGACATTTTGCAAGGTATTGTCCATCAATTCCAAGTCTGTTTGTGCAGTCTACAGTGATTAGATGCACAAGTGGGTTTTCCTTCTGGGGAAAGCTGAGATTCTAAGGATGCAGATTTCTGCCAATTCGTATAATCCCAATGTTATTTTTTTTAATTACGTAACTGCTCTGCATAGAAATATATTTGTGTGTTTTCATTCAGATAATTTTTAAAACCATCCTGCAAATTAGCAGCTTTAGAAAGTGACAGAAATTCACCTTGGAATTTTCCTCACATACACATTCCATTGTTAAATCCTGAACAATAAAAGATGAAATTATTTTCAGAGCCTAGAACAACTCTCACAAATCTGGGCATCCACAACTGTTGTTGGGGATAGTAGCTACAACTGTTGTCTTTATTGCAAATAAGCAAACTCACTCTGCTCATTTGCCAAACATATGGAAGCTAGCTGAATCTAATTTGGGATTTGCCCATCAATATCACACTGACTTGTTTAGAAATAAAATCTGACTTCTTGTTTATCTGACTCCATTATGATTTGTCTAAAACCAGAGCAAAACTGGATTTTATTTTACCTTATTTTATTTTTAGTGTTGAGAGCTGTGGGTAGTCTATGTCTTTGTTGGCATTATTCTTGCTTCTCCACATTTTCTGGCTTCTGGGTACAAGTAAGCCCTTACTTAGCAACCTATTTATATTAGGTAGGAATTACCTGCAGCCTTATCAGTAAACCCAATCTGAATTCTTCTAGTCAGTTTCAGGATCCCTGTTAAAAACAGCCTGGCCTGATTTTCTCTACTTATATAAGTTGTGAATTCCTGCTTCACTGAATCTCCCAGTCTTTGGTTTCTATTACTGTCCCCCACACACACTGACATATAGAGATAATCGTATGTGTAGCCGTAACTAGAACTTTTATGAAAAATCCTTTGTTGCAAAAATACGGCCACACTCTTCTTCCGATATCAGAGGTAACAGAAGCTTAGAAAGAGAAGGCATTGTTCAGACACATACACTGGGAATGCTTGTGTGCGTCTGTGTAGTGCCAGTGGCAAAGTACTAGGAAGAGTTGTTTTTGTTTTTCTATTGTGTGGAAAGGAAAGATGGGGATTTTTATTACTCCAGGAGCTGTGGCAGGTCACCTGTTACCTACAAATTAACTTCTATAGGACGGTGGGACCTTTTACCTAATACCCATGCCTCTACTGTATCCTGGGGTGTCATCAAACTGAGGTTTGTGCTCTAACTACCTTCAGTTAATAGTATCTTGGAAAACAAAGGTCTGTGTACGAAGACAGGGATCTTACTGTTAAGTCTTAACCAAATGGCTGCCCATTTCTCCTTACATGGTTAAATACCTCTCTGTTGTTCCACCTATAATGATCTGGTAGTTGTTATTCTGGTTTATTAGAACAGGTCTGCATTTTGGTATGGAATATATAAAATCTGCTGAAGTCCTGGGTTGTTTGTAGCAACATGGAGCATTACTCCTTGTTCTGTAAGTATTTTACAAAATGTGTTTAAAATTTCTTCTGTAGCAGGCGGTCCCACAAATGCAACAGCTCATTTTCATGCCAGCCCAGCAGAAGACAAAGACAAATTACCAAAGGATGACAACTAATTAATATTGCATGGTAAAAATTTATTCCCAAGACCAAATTTGGAAAATAACAGAGAAGAAATTTAAGACAGTGTTACGTCCTTCCACCAGTTCCTTCCTTCTTTCTTTACAAAACTAAAAAACAAAAGGCACAATGGAAAAACAATATTTTATCCACAGTTACACATTTCCATTTGTTCTGTTGAAATGTTCTATCATATTTCTGTTTTGGAAGAGTGACTTGAAATTTTGCCAAGGTATAGCTTGCATGATTGATGGGTCATCAATCCCTTTAAAAACTGTCCATCTTGAGTGTTCTCTAACAAAACACTTAGCTAAGCTTTGTGTGCAATGGCTCCTTCATGTTCCCTTACATAGTTTTTCAGATATTGTCACCTTCTCTGAGTTGAAATAGAAAACTACTAACACAGCTCAGACTCACCTGTAATTTCTGCAATAAAATATGAAATATACAGCAGAGGGGGGAAAATAATTGGTTCTGCATGCTTTGCGCTGTTGACAACTTCTTCCATCCATTCATAGTTCCAGAACTAAAACTTAGCAATAAAAACAAATGCTAGGCTGAAGCCTGACATAAAGACCTGCCTTTTTTCATTATTCTAAAACTTACTCTGCTTCACAGCACCTCCCCAGTCTTTTTCAAACATGTGCCTTCACTTAGATTCTAGCTTCAGCTTCTGCTGCAATTCCATGGACTGGTTCTTTGATTTTTTGCAGGCTGTTTTTTTCCCAAGTGAAGCCATATTTGGTCCCTTGAGTTCAGTTATGCCAATTCTGGAAAAGAAGTTCTCTAAGATGTTTTTAACTGGGGATACCTGAGACTGAATCTAGGACTTTATGAATATGCTCTGCCATTGCACCACATCCTCTTCTTAGTGGAAGTGGTTCAGTGCTTCCTCTTGACTCTGGTCTTGGGTTGTGCTATGATTCATATTCTCACTATTGGCTACCTGGAACCAATGTTTCCATTCTTGTGCATAAAATATATTTTGGACAACAGTATGAAGCTAGTACTATTATAATTTGATGCCAGTGTTCCTTTACATCTAGAACTAAAGCTGGATAGCCTTTGAGACTTATGAGAGCTTAAGTCTGTTCCTCTTGGATCAGACCAAAAACCAATCTCATAGGGGCCAAGAAGCTAATGAGAGGGGTATGATGGCAGCAGTCCTCTTCCACACTGGGTCAACAGCAATGCATTTAAGAATACAGTTTGTGAATCAAGAAGCAATATACTTCTTGAGTACAGTAGCTGCTGATAGTCTACCGTAGATTTATTGTCTCCTTCTAAAGCAATTAAACTAAGGGCTATCAGGAGGGTTACCTCTATATCTGTATGTGGTGGCTGGATATTCCATACTTTAACAACATATTGTATAAAGAAGTACTTGTTTTAATTGATCCTTTCCATTTAGTTTAAATGGATTACTAATTATAAGAGTGGAGTTCTAATTCTAGGCAGAGGAAAATAATTTTATCTTCCCTTTTTTATATTAAGCATGATTTTATTTAACCAACTTCTTCCTAAGCTAAAAACCCCAAATGTTATCTTTCCTTGGTGCAGACCTTTTCCAGCCTTTTGGTTAACATGTTTTTGCCATTTTGCCAGTTCTAGGATTTGCTTTAAAATGTGTGATGATCAGAACTGTACAAAATATTCCAACTATTATCACACCATAGATTTATAGAAGACCATTAATACAGTGGCAATGTGGTTTTCATTCTAAACAATGCTTAGCATGGAATGTACCCTTTCTTTACAGCAACTTCACTGCCATCTCAGATCCCATTAGGAGAATCACTGCTGTTGTTCTAATCACTGCGTACTTGCTTTCATTCAATTTGCCACTTTAAACCCCATTCGGCTAGCTTGGAGAGCTATTTTGATCTTTTCAATCCCCCCCCCCTTTTTTTAACTGCTTTTAATAATTAGGAATCATCAGCAAAGTTGGCAAACTTTCAAGCCCTGCGAGGCTGGCAAATTCAAGAAACAAGAACCTCTTTGACTTCTGGAAAGTTCTTTATTGCCAGTATGGAACTGAATCTTGAAGGACTGTCAAAGCCATTCTCCTGCTCAACTTACACCTAGCAAAAGTCAGCCAGAGTTGCTGTGAGTGTCTTTACCACACTTCCCTTCTCACCTGGGCTAAGTTCTCTTCTGTAACAGTACTGTTTCCTTCTTTCTTTTCTCAGAGTCTGCTAGACCAGGGTTCCTCAACCTCAGCAACTTTAAGATGGGTGGACTTCAACTCCCAGAATTCTCCAACCAGAGGTTGAGGAACCCTGTGCTAGACATTCCATCACACTACCTCATCCATCATCTGTAGCTACAAGTCACACTTGTAAACATGTTAAAAGTACCAGCATAGCTCTTATGGGTGGGAGGACTGTGCACATCTCTCCGTTTTGAAAACTATTTATTTCTACCACCTTCTTCCTATTCTTTAAACTGTTAGCAGTTCACAGGAGGACCAGTCCTCTTATCTGTGACTGCTGAATTTATACAGGGCCTTTGGTGAAGGCCTGAGGTGGGTGCCTCCTTCAGGCACTTTTCCGAGCCTCTTTTTAAAAATGAGCAGTGACTTCAGAAGGAGATGCAAAGGGAAACTGCATTTGTTCCCACTGTAGAACAGAAAACAGAATTTGTCCAATCTATTGTTAACCTTTTTCCCACCTCTTTATGGAGCCTGTAATTGTCTGCTGTTTGAGGAGAAAAAACTTTTATAATGCTATCATTATCTGAAGCTGAATAAATGAATATAAATCAGTAGGGGAGAGCCAAGCAGCAGCCAGCTGGTAGGAATACAATACACATTTCTAGAACTTCTTTCATATCACAAATATATTTATGATCAGTATATTCAGGCATATATTGTCCATCTACATCATTTAGAAAAGATTGGTTGTAAAAATTATTTTGTTTCTCTATTCTATGGAAGTGTTTGGTTTGGTTTCAGGAATAGATTGCACTAAATTGCATTGAAATTGCCAAAATAAATACAGAGAAAAACAGCATTTTTGCATAGTTGTTTTAAACCAGCTGCAAGCCCATTCAATGTGTTTTTGTTGTGGATAAGTGAATGTGTGGGTGTGCACACATGTGCAGGTTCAGAGCAGTCACACAGCCAGAGAAGAAATGGGCCTCCTCCTCTGAAGACAGATAATCTAACCATTCCACTGACATCAGAGGCCAAATGACAAAGGAACAAGCCAACAACAGTGGAAACAATGTAGTCTAGTGGCTAAGGCTTTGGATTGGAGTGGGGATACCCTGGATCAAGTCCCCACCTGGGCATAAAGTTCAGTGTGTGACTTTAGCACAATCATACTCTTTCAGCCTTAACAATCTTAAAGATAGTGGGCTAAAGAAACCTTCATTAAAACTGTTCTGAGATCTTGGGGAAATGATGGGATATCAATGAAACAAGCCAACAAACCCCCCTGGGACTTAATTTACTTGGCTGCATCTCTGGATCCAAAGCAGTAAAATGAAAGACAGAGAGCAAGTCGAATTGCTCCCCCTCTGACTCGGGCAGAGGTGAGCATGCCACCATCTCTGTAGTCTAATCCTTTGACCAATAAAAGCTTTTAGTGACGGTGACAGTTACTCTGCTAAAGGAACAGGAGTCTCCTGTCAGCTGGGAGTTGGCAATGCATGCTGATCTGTGGACCAGGGGAATGATTGGAATGAGAGCCAAACTAACTGCGATGGCAGCCTTTCTGAATGAAGAATGGTTCTGCTACAGACACCCTATAAAAGCCCTGATTCTAAAATGCTGTAGAAGGAAGTGGGAGGCAGCAGTTTAAATTATCCCTCCATCTGCCCCTCCCCTCCAAAAAGCAAACTTAAAAAATCTGTTTTGTCCTGGTGATTGTACTTCTATTAATAATGCCTGCT